AGTACCTCCTTATTTTGTAACTAAAAATTAAAGCTACCAATGTCACAATCAGACCCTTACTATAACTAATGAGAGGAAAATCATAACAGAGATAGGACACCTCAGGACAACTGCTGAAGTAACAATAGGAGTTAACATTAATGCTGAAACTCTTTGTGTGGGTTCTGAGGCTTTATCGTAGGGAAAAAGAATAAAACCACTGTCCCCCTAACATGAATGTCTACTAACTAGGGTAGTTTCTTTTAAAGTCATGCTGCCTCTGCCTGAGAGGTGAGGAATCAACAGTCTTGTTTCCAAATATAACATTTGTAACTTGGATGTGCACGCAAAAATCAAGTTCTGGAACAAGTCCACCATCACCTAGATTGTGAAATGAACGTTGTCTGCAAGAGTGAAAGATGGATGCTGTAAACCATTTCATTACAGACAATTTAACAGCTACCAGTGACCAGGCCACTGTTCACACAAATAAGGGAAAGATTCAGCTTAACACTGAAAAATCAAAAGGCTATATATATATATATTTATATATATATATATATGATATATAGCCTTTTGGCTATAAGATGTGTTTATAATTATGATTTTCTGGCTATTATACAAATAATGGGCACAAAAGAAGGTGGCCAAAAACAGGGCCTCAGTCGTGTGTCAATTGCGCACTTCCGGCGACCAAATTTGCGGTTTTCCGACGACTACCGCCACCGCCAAGAGTATCCCCCCCCCCCCCCGCCGTGTGGATTGGGGCTAAACTAGATGGCTAGGACCCACGAGCAAAGCTGCAGGAGATACGGAAGCTGCTGCTCATGAGTCCCAGCCATCTAGTTTAGCCCCAATCCACGCCACGTGAGCGGCGTGGGGGATACTCTCGGTGATGGTGGTAGTCGCCGGAAAACCGCAAATTAAGTCGCTGGAAGTGTGCAATTGACACGTGACTGAGTCTCTGTTAGGGTGTTTTTCCAGCCGCCATATTTTGTGCCCGTTATTCGGAAGATAGCCTTTTCTTATATAGATATTGTTCGTCCATCAATAGTGATGAGGACCACTCTTTCTTTCATCCGTCATGAAACTGCATTGCTATGGATCCCTGCTATTCATTTTAAGGTGGCTAACAGTTTTGTGATTTATGGTTAATGATCTGACTATTCTGCTGAATAAATGTGACCTTGTATATACAAGTGCAGCTGCATTAAAATTATATAAATAACCAACAAGTATTTATCGATCCCAAATACTAATACATTTTTAGTTTGTACTGACTGATCCAGAGCAGCGTTTAACAATATGGGGCCCAAGCCCCATGGGCGGGGGGAGGGGTGGGGAGGGAATTTGAACTAATGAAACGTTTTAAATAGTGATTTAAGAGGATCTCAGCCTGGATAGCAGATCCACAGGACTTGAAGGTTTGACAATATCCAACTAAATGGCTATCCTCTAAACTCCGGTCACAAAAGATGGCGGCCGCAAAATATCCTTTCGAGCCTCAGTCACGTGACTTAATTTGCAGTTTTCCGGCGACTTAATTTGCGGTTTTCCGGCGACTATCGGCACGAGTCCCCCACACTGCGTGGATTGGGGCTAAACCTGATGGCTAGGACCCACGAGCAGCAACTTCTGCAGCTTTGCTCGTGATTCCTAGCCATCTAGTTTAGCCCAATCTGCATGAGCGACGTGGGGGACTCGTGGCGGTGGCAGTAGCCGCCGGAAAACTGCAAATTAAGTCACGTGACTGAGGCTCGAAAGTATATTTTGCAGCCGCCATCTTTTGTGCCCGAAGTTCGGAGGATAGCCAACTAAATTTAAATCTCAGTGGTGATACTTGATAGCAGACCAGAATCCCAAGCTCAGATTCTGATACCCCACATTAAACCTCTAAGAAAATTATAATTACTAATTAGGATATCCGTAACGGCGACACCAACCCAGTATTATTATAACCTGTAGTCGTGTTCGGATAACTTAAGAATTGTGAAATGAACTATATTATTATTAATGCTGAATTAATTTGACATTATCTATAATCTATTAGTTCAAGTTGTTCAACGTACTTGAACTTTAGATTTTGGTGCTTTAGTAACTAGTAACTACGGCAAAATGCAGGTTCACAACAATGACGATCATGATCACATAAGTCTAGCTGTGAGACATTCTATTGTGTGTTGACCTATTTGTTCAAATTCCGAAATTATCTTTTTATTTTTGCTGCTCTGTGATAGCTCAAAGAACTAAAAGTTATCGATGACTTACGCAGAACCTGGTCGAACAATAGTAAACATTTCACAAAGTGACTTCTCTCCAGTGTTGCCACTTTTTTTTTGACAAAAAATATCCAAAACGGTGTCCAAAAATATCTAAAAAGATTTAAATCTGCGTGGAAAAGATCTAGAAAGAAAATCCAAATTGAAAAGTCAAAAATTACATAGCTTTTGTTATGACTTACCCTACATAATCATGTCCTCATCTTCACTGATGTCTGCCTCACAAGATCCACAGGATAAACTTAGCTAGGATAATAAAGTTGAAGCTTCAGATCCAAAATGACCCTGGTATGCTTTAGCTGTTCAAATATCTTTATAAGTGGAACAGTTGGCTTATTTCTCTAGTCTCATCAGGCCGAATTTTAATGGCACGATAGCATTTAAGAGGTCAAATTTCATCCTGTTTTTTAGGTAAGATTTGATATAATTCCTAGCACTGAAAACTCTTTCTACGTCAGCATTTGAGTGGGGTAGTATCATGGCAGACATGGCACTTTGAAGAGCTTACAGAATGGACTGTTTGATGAGGCATCTTTAAATTGTCTCACTTCACTCCAAAACTCTTTAGTTTCTGTTTTGTTTGTCCATTAAGCTAAATTTATTTTGGTTAACTGATATTCTGCTTCCGCGACACTATTATCAGTAGCCCCTAAAAATTTCATAACTTTACAATATTTAGGTATGTCCTTTATTGGCTGAAGTATGTTGCTCACAGAAAAAAAAGTGAAATATTTTTTTTAAAACATCTAGATTTTCAGGAAGTCTCTGCTTCAATAATGAAATAAGGAAATCTTGACAGAGTTTTCTTAAGTTGTTTTCTTCATTCTCTGTTAACAGTCATTTTGTTTTTAAATCATCAATTTTTGATTCGATTTAATATCCAAGGTGTGGCTTAGGAGCCAAATAGCTCTCTATAGTGCAAGTGAGCAAATCAGGTTTAGAAGTTGGCAACACCAGTCTTTTACCGAGTGAAATAGCAAGGTGAGATCATCAATTTAACTTTATCAACAAGTTTAGATTCTAACAGTTTATTAACTTTTTGCACTTCCATTAGAATAGGTTATAAAAAGAGAATGAATGACACATTTTTTTCATCACTGTACATTCCATATAGTATTTAAGCTGTGTAGCACTTTTCACTTTGTCTTGTTATTTCAGAGAGTGTCTTCAACTTCAGCCATTGCTTCATAATTCTTTCAACAGCTGGTTAAATTGAAAACCATCTAGTTTTGCAATCTGACAGAGTTTTCGGTGGTGTGGAACCATCATTCAAGGCTGCATATAATGTATTGTATTACTGTCTGAAATATGATTTGGAAAACCAGTAAAATGTTTCAGCAATAAGGTATTTCAAATTCCTTGGTAAATATTTAGATGAAGCATGTGATAATGCTAGCTGCAATGAATGACGCATACATTTTATGAGTATTAACGATGGGTTAGCTTCCTTCAACTTGGCGTAAACGCCATTGTTTATACCAACCATCACTGAGGCATTATCAGTACCAATTACAGCCAAATTCTTCAAGCCCAACTGATTGCTGATTAAAAGGTCCTTCAGTTCCTAAACTATACTTTCTACATCACACTTTTCGAATTGAACTAGTCCAAGATTTTTTTACAAATCGATCAAATGGTCACAGTTTGAAATTGCGCAGTGACAAATTAAAAACATTGCGACTGATACTTCAACTTTTGATGATTCATTTATCAGTATAGTTCTGAAAACAGATGTAATATCTTTAAATGAAACTGCAGTTTTATGCTTTTTTAGTATCTGCATGACTCTTTGAGTTTTGTATTTTCGCTTTAATTTCACACTTGCAGTACTTACAACAAGCTTTGGTCATATCCCCAGTTTTTAATTTTGTCATCATGCAACCACTCTTTCCAAATTTTTTGCTCACTTTACTTTTGACATGTTGAAAGTTTTTTTCAAAGTGAAAGCCACATAAGGAGGTGAGCAATTATTTTTTTTTAATCACATTAAAAAGAAACGCAAAGTCAGCACAGTCAGGATACCGTTGAAACAAAGTTAGTATGATTTACGCGCGTTTTTATTAATCAGTACCGGGGCTGCTAGATATTTGTGCGTTGACCCAAGTGAGAGTTCAAAGTTAAAGTAATGACAGTTGTCACAATGTACGTGCCAGACCAAAACAAAAATACTGTAACAAACATTTTACACAGTAATTATTAAATTGACAATGAAAGAAAAAAAATCTATAAAATATCTAACTCCATATGAAAAGTTTCTAGAAAAGTATTTACGATCTAAACGTCAAAAACAGTATCTAAATGCAATGAAAAAGATCTAAATTTTGATATAAAAGATCCAAAGTGGCAACACTGCTTCTCTCCCTTCAAATAATCAAAGCCAGACTCTCGTCCACTTGAAAGATCAAAATTTGCACACATATAAAACAATGGGGACGATAATTTTTAGAACGTTAAATTTAAAAATGTCTAAACAATAAGATTTTACCAAAAAATTTTTGTTTGTTGACGCAGATGATAATATGAATTTTTCAGGTTTTATTTTAAAAGTTTAAAAAAAAAAAAAATTGACAACAAAAAGGTCTGACTGGCATCTGGTTAGCTGTATTGTTAGGTCCTTTCAGAGCAGACAGACTTATCTTGTTTGGGGGTGAACATTGAAAGTCGTTATAAAACCAAGTCGGTTGTAACTACTTGTTTTAAATTGACGCCTTATATTAGTCACTGATAGTGACGCCCAGAAAGATGGCATCGACTTCTGAGGGAGCTGTCCCTTGGTCGAATGATAAGGACGATTATGAACTTTTAGGAGTCATAGGTGAGCATAGCAAAGGATAGAGGGATAATCTCAGCCTTTATAATAATAGCACGAAGTTAGTGCTTTTATTAAACAGTGCAGTCCTGCTACGAATAAGATGATCATGGAATTAATAGTATAGTTATAAGCACACTTATACATCACTTAAAGACAACCTTGAGAAAGTGTAGGAAAGCTGTCGCAGAAGACACTAGCACATAATAATATTAAAAGCCATTATAATTTATTAATTATAATGAACTTAAAGTTTAACGCACTGTAAAATAATAAAGAATTAAGCTCCTCCTAATACTTACCTTACATTGTGTTTGTAATTTTTGTTGTTCATTGATGACTCTGCACATCATACAAATTTTTAGACAAGGCTTGTCATTATTTATATTTTTATCATATAACCATCATCATATTGATGTGCTGTTATATAGGTCACAGAGGACTCACAATGGTTCTTCATTTCCTTCTGTAGTTTATACCTCTGGCCTCTGATAAAATCTTCATCTTAAAGTTTCTCTTGGATGCCCTTCTTTCCTGTTTGTTTATCAGGAATTCACTGTCATCTTTTCCTCTTGTTGTGTTCAGTATATTGTATTTTTCATTTTTCCTCTTGTTGTGTCCAGTATATTGTATTTTTCTTTATAACTGTAGTTGCAAGCAGTTATCCAGACATTTCATGCTTATCTCATCACCTTTTGTGAATTCATCATTTATAATTTCCTTAGGCATTTGTTTTTGAACACATTCATCTTTCTACCCATATCTGTTTTTGAACACATTCATCTTTCTACCCATATCCTAAGTGGTCCTCCAACTCTTTACTGGCATATGTTGTAAGTTGTATTTGCAAAAACATGAGAATTCAAAATATTAAGTTAGTTTTTAAACTACATAATTTCAATTTTGGATTGTTTTTTTTTTTCAAGCTTTTAATTGCAGTTGTTTGCTTGCCAAAGCCTGTCATATAATTTTGTTATGTTCCCTTGGCAGTTAAAATAACTACCTAAGTAGGTGAACTGATCTGTTTCTTCAATTCTTGTTTGCATCTTATATGACTACTGACTACTGTTTGATTTGTTAATAGTGCAACTTTTTGTCTTTTCATACATGATTTCTTCATCATCATCATCAGGTGCCTTGCCGACTGGCGTGGGCAATCATGCCTCTCCATAATCCGCGATCTCCTGCAGCATGTATCAGTTCGTGTGCCGACACACCTCCATGCCATGCAACAAGACTGTCAAGCATCTTCTCTCGTTGTCTTCCTCTATCCCTCCTTCCACAGATCTTTCCAGTGGTCACAACATGCTCTATTTTCCCTCTTCTCATAACATGGCTGAAAAATGATGACTGTCTCCTTCTGATGTCAGTGATAAGTTGTCTTCGGTCTCCCGCCTCTTTTAAAACCTCTTGGTTGCTCTTTTTGGCTGTCCAAGGTATTCTAAGCATTCTTCTGTAAAACCACATCTCTGAGGCCTCCAAAAATTGTTTGGCCTGCCTACCGATTGTCCAGGATTCACATCCATATGTTAAAACTGGATGTATGTAGCAAGCAAGAATTCTTTTTCTAACTCTCAATGACTAGGATATATTGCACAAGATGTTTTTCATTTTATAAAATGCAGTTTTTGCCTGTCCAATTCTGTTTCTTATTTCAGTTATGCATCTTCCATCTGATGTTATCCATGTGCCCAGATACTTAAATTTCTGTACTTGTCTTAAAATAACACCATTGACTTTTATTACACATTTAGGAATAATTTGTTTCTTTGATACCACCATTACTTCTGTCTTCCCATTATTCAAACTGAGGCCCATTCTTCCACTTTCTAACACCACAATGTCTATCATTTCCTGTAATTCTTTCTGACTTGTTGCTATCAAGACTGTGTCATCAGCATAACGTAAATTGTTTATATTGTGCCCACCAACCATGATTCCGGGCATATCAATTAAAGATCTCATAATATATTCACTGTATATTGAAAACAAATCAGGTGAAAGTACACATCCTTGTCGTACGCCCCTCTTTATGCTTTGAAATGTACCTAAACAGTTGTTAATTCTTATAGCTGCTGTTTGCTGCCAATACATATTCTTTATTATTCTTGGATCTTTCCCATCAATGTTTAATTTTTCTAACAGTTTGATTACTTCTTCATGCTTCACACAGTCAAATGCTTTTGTATAGTCTATGAAGCATAAGTACAAATCAGTCTTTACTTCTATAGCTCTTTCTGACAATGTCCTTCTTTCTGACATGATTTCTTAGGTGAGGTAATTTGAGGTAATGAATGTTTCCATGATAAGATAGCTAACGAAGTAAACCATAGCATGTGGGTATAAATGAGCTGACATTTGCAGATGATCATGCCCTATTAAACAAAGATAAGGATAATCTCTAACGCCACATAAACATCTTCAGTACCTGATGCAAGAAATTTTATATGCAAATGTATTCTGAAAAGACAGAAATAATCACATTAAATAGAAGACCAATTTATTAAAATAAGCTTAGAGTTTAAGTACCTAGGCAGTGTGTTCACTGAGAATGGAAGATTGGACAGAGAAATAGAAAACAGAAGGCCAGCCAGTAAAATGCACACAAAAAAGCAGTTGGTAAATACACTACATACCAATTTTATGCTTTCAATGCCAGATGGATAGTGCTTGAAAAATATAAAGGCAAAATTACATATGAGATAAGATGTATAAGAAATACAGCAGGAAAAACAAGAACAGATAAAGTCACCAACAGATAACTAAGGACAATGACAGGCACATTACAGGATTTCACAAAACACCAAAGAATCAATGGTTTGGTTACCTGGGCAGAATGGAACAAACCCAGCCAGCAGCAAGAGTGTATAACATGGAACAGCAGGCGACAAGACAAGAGGCCAACCAAGAAAGATATAAGGGGACGGAGTAAAGGAGACCCTAAAGAAACATAATAGGACATTTACACATGTTTGGTCTCTTACAAAAAAGTAAAAAAACAAAAACTACATTAACTGCTCTCTGCGACACTTCAGGTCATAAGCTGTAGACAAATTTGGCTTATTTGTATTCAGACTGTTAGTTCCTTTCCTTCTTGCAAATGACACTGACTTAGAAAGATACACCTCTAATTAGTCATATTTTGCAACCTGTTTGTTAGGAGGGTAGTGGGTCTATTTTTTCATCCTAACATTGGCCCAGGGAACCCACACTGGAAATTTCTGTACAATATGGTTGATAGTTGAACTTGTTTAGGCAAATTGTGCACTCAGGCCCATATTACATTCATCCTTTTCAAGCATTCATCTTTAATACGGCAGTTGTATTTTTATATATATCAAGCATATTATATGCATATAATCAAAATTCATACAATGAATGTAAAGTAAAAAATATAAAGGCATGGATGACAAATACATGCCTTCAAATATCCATGCCAAAAATACTTGCACATCACAGATACGCACTAGCACACACACACACATAGAACACCCTTAAACACACATAGGCGCACACATTGATAACACACACCCACATAGCATAAATAGGCATATATGCAATCACAGATAGAACCCATACACACAAACCTAACACATGTACACAGACAAACAAAAAAGCATACATAGTCACATCTATACACAGACACAACATACAGAAAACAGACAACACACACCAATACATACATACTCTTACTGACACAAAACATACATATAGACACAACTATCAGGTATGGATACAATATATACACACTGACTCAACACAAGCACAGCATTCACAAATACAGCACAAATAGACACAGCACATAGAAATTACAGTCACATGCACAACACAACATGACAGACATAACATACAGACAAACACACACACACTCACAGACACACAAAACATACACCCATTCACAGATAAGCACACACATACAACTCTCACAGGTATAAACACTCACAGATATATCACATACTCACAGATAAACACAGACTCATTGACACAACACGTACAGACACAATATTCACACACTAACAACATTACACAGACACAGCACTCACGTAATCACAACAAAGACATATAGACAAGGCATGCGCAGACATCACACTCTCACAGACAAAACACCCCCTCAGACACAGTGCTCACAGACACACACACACCCACAGCCCATGCTTGCATACAGAAAATTCACACAGATACATCACTCTTACATACAGTACACACACAGACACTACCCCCATACAGACACAATACACAACTTTTCACACAAATAAAAAGACACAACATACACAGGAACAAACACACTTGCAGACACAACACATACAGGACACAACACTCACAGAGAAACAACACTCACAGACACAACATTTACAGATATAGCACTCCAGCGCTGACAGACACAATACTCCTAGACACAACATACAGAGACACACACCCATTCAACAACACTTACACACAGACACCCCACAGATAAACATACAGTTGTACACACACACTCACACATAAACAACAACATTTACACCCACACACAGACAATAAATACAAACACAACACTCACACAAGATAACAACACTCAGACACACACATAGATGCAGAACTCATCAACACAACTGACATAGATAAAACAGACACAACACACTCTCTCATAGACAGAACACACACAGACACAACACTCATAGACACAACACTAACACATACACAACACACACTGCCAAACCCATCACACACAGACATAAGACACATCGACACAAAAGCTCACCCGACAAAGCATACACACTGACACACCATACACAGAGACATACACAAATTCACACTTTGAAAATACCTAAAAAAAAGGTGCTGGTACTGCGTACTGTCAGAAAAATAAAGCTCTGGTGGCAGGAAATGTTCTGGCAGTCAGTGTAATATTGTTCACAACACCCATTGAGTGCCGGATAGTCTGTGAAAGTATACGGCAAACATTACACACCCAGTACAACTACACATATGGAATGGAGCACTTTAAAGCCATAAACCAATGTTATGGCACATGTTAGGGAGAACTTCCTCATGGGTCGGTACAGTTTTAGCTTATTGCCAAACATGAAATTCACTGAGAGAATGTAAATGATTCACAGATGCATGCTGAAGTTGACATACCAATCTGTCTTGAATTATACTGACCAATGAGGCTAACCAAGTCAACAAATGTCTGCAGAAGTCGGATGTTTCGGCTGAAATGAGCAAATATCACTGCCATGCTGTGAACAGGCACAGTGCAGTTACATCTTCGAAAAAAAAAACAGATGAAAAATTTTACAGGGAATATCAGAAGATTTGTGATCTATTTATTATTTTCACATTGACTTTTCATGGTAGCTTTTTGTTTTCTCAAAAGTGAATCAAGTGTTTGTGTGCTCTACAGGTGCTGGTGCTACAGCAGTGGTTCAGGCTGCTATTTGCAAACCACGAAATGAGAAATGTGCTATCAAACGAATCAACTTGGAAAAGTGCAATACTACAGTGGAAGAGCTTTTGGTGGGTTCATAATGTCAGTCATAGTGTCGTTTTTTTAAGGAAATTATTTTAGCCCATTATCATCATGTAGCAGGTCCTTTTGCAGAACGTTGCTCTCATCCTAGTCTGTCTGAAAGAAACTGGGCCTGTCTCTCCTGCGTCATGCACTTTCCTACTTAAGGTGTCACTTATACCTGGTACCCAGCTTCATACTGTTCAGCCCCTGCTCCTCTTTCCTGGTACCATCCCTTCTGCGGTTATTCCCACCCCCCCCCCCCCCCACCCTCAATATGTTGTGGCACTTAATATGGCCAAAGTATTTCAGTTTCTGAGACAGGATGCTGTTTACTAGCCAGTCTTCCTTGATGTTCAAATCTTTTAGGATGTCAGATTTATTTTCTTCTTTGTCAATGCTTTTTTGAAAATCATTCTATAGCATTTCAGCACAAGATCCCCTATTTTACATAGTCCATCAGTAATAAGTCAGTGCATCTATAGCTTTTTACATGGGCAAAGGATAAAGGAAGTCTTTTGATGTACTTGTTTCTGTGTAGTAGTTTAATCATTACCTACCAACATTGAGCAACAGATTACTTTTTAACTTTAGGGTGCTCTGATACATATTTTATATGGTTAACAGGGTTTTGGAGAATAAATACGACTCTTTTGTTATGGTTTAACAGGTTTTGGGGTATTTGCTACTGTTAGTTTTGCATCTGAACAATGACTTTAAGTCAATCTTTCCGACTGCAATCCCAAAAAACTTACTGCTGTTATAGTTTAACATGTATGGTCTTGACATATACAGGTTATGGCATAGTATAATGGAGCGATAAGATCTATCTTTTCAAGTCAGTTTTTAGAAAATTCTAGCAGTTATCATTTTTATGTTCTTTGCTAGAAGGTGTAAGATGCAATATCTCTCCACAATTTTTTTCCCGATAAATTATGTTGATAGTATTCCTCCATATCATTATAAAAGTATATACCTCATCATTTCTTTTTTATTTGCCTTTATCTCTTCTGACATGGATCTTTCCATTCATCACAATGTTTTCCACTGCTTCTCTTTTTTCTGTGATAAAGAATTGTTCAGACACATTGTCATTCCCTTGTGTTGAAAAGATAAAGTCAGTACATACTAGCCCACACCTGATACACCGGCAAACTTTGAATACCCTGGCTTCCTGATTAACAGGAAGACTGGTCATTTGATGTGTATTAAAAAAAATGGAGATTATATATATAATAATATATGTATATATATATATATATATATACTCCATAGCAGTCAAATTAAGAATTAAATAGCATTATCTCTATCTGTACCAAGGAACACATGATGTGTTGATTTACAACTAATTTGAACTGGCCTTTGATACCAAAAGAGTTGAAAGTCAAGACACAATGCCAGAAAATCAGAGTAAAGAACACTCATCTGTCCCCTGGCAACCTATGGATTGGAGTCATATGCTCTTCACAAACCCTGAAGATGATAATTAAGAATTTTGAACTCAAATGTTGCAGAAAACTACTGAGAATGCCATGGATCAAATAAAAAAAATTTTTTTTTATAAGTCAGAGTGCATCTACTTCAGAAGCAAGAAACCTACAGCCTGCATACAAATAAGCTAGATCTGTAAAATGGATGTACAGATATAACTCAAGTCCTGAAATAAGGCAAAGTCCAGAACTGGACAAACAACCAGGACTTTCCACTGTAGTTTACAGCGGGTGAACGTGAAGAAGAAGAAGAACGGAGGAAAAAATACTGACATTCTACCAGATCTGGACAGTTAGAAGTAAACTGGTTTATAAACAGCACTGTCGGAGAGGTTGAAATACTTCTGTCGTTTTAAATACTGTAGAAATTTATATTGGAACAAGAGACATTAGTGTGTGCAGCAAGTGTGCACTTTGAACATTAGAATATATACTGGAGAAATGTTGGCAAAGGACCAAGTGTCCTTTTTTCAAGCTGTGATGGAAGCAACATTCTGCACACTGATCTAATGCACATGTAAGATGTTATGTTGCATACTAGATTATGCATGTTAGCCTTAAATATGAATTATGTTTTATATCTTCACAGAAAGAGATCAGAGCCATGAGCCAGTGCAAGCATGAGAATGTTGTATGCTACTATACATCTTTCGTTGTCAAAGAAGAGTTGTGGGTGGTCATGAAGCTGTGTGGAGGAGGTGAGTTTGGGTCAGCTGCAGTTTATTTTGCAGGATGTTGCAAACCAACATCAGCATTGTGGAGCTGTTTGTGGTATGCTGCTCTTAAGGCAGGCAAATTTTATATTCAGTAGTTTGCCATTGCTTTCTGAAAGGTCAGCTGTCCTTCCTAGTGTCAGAATGTAAGCAAAGTGGTCTGCTGCCATATTGCCTGCAGCTGAATTGATCTTTGTATTTCATGTTTGTATTTTCATGTAGCTGACATATTCATTTGATTTTTAGAGCACTGTATGGTTTGTTTTTTCAAACTTCAAAGGTACTTCCATTTTATTAGAGCTAGTGAAATGGCCAGGCTGTTGCCTCACACTCTGAAGGTCATGGATTCATTTTACTGATGGGCCTTTGCTTTATAAATGCAATTTTTCCAAAGACCTCTGGATATTGTTACTGGGGCCTTGGTGTTTGTGTTTTGTGTGATGATTTTGGCTGGCAACCAGCTGTTCTGCTGTGAGAGACTGAACCATATCGAACAAAACCTTGTGCATTGAATTAGATTCTATAAACTTTTAACCTCTAACTTTAAAATTTAATTATTTTTTTTGGGTAACTTTTGTTTTCAAATTATATTATTTTAGGCCTCATTTTCTTTATGGTATGCCTCGTCTAAGTCTCTTGATTGTCTAGTGTGTCCACTTTATTTACTAATATTTAGGCATCAGTGAATATCTTTGAGTTTACAAAACTTATTTGTCATGGTAAAATCTGTCTGCAACACAATATTCATAATGTGTCTGACATTGCAAGAAAGCACCAAGGAGACAGTGATCACATGAAAGACATACATCTACATGGAATTGCAAAGGCTAGTGCCACACGTTTGTGAATTTTGAATTGAGAATTGACATCACAACACTCGGGACACTCCTATAAGCGCTTCATCCCCATTTTCAGCAGCAGGTGAAGAGTTTCAATTCTGATGGTACCAGTAACTGCCTGATTGTACATCCGTCTCGCCTTTCCCTTGAGTGTTGAGCATCGCCAAATCTCCTGGTAGCTCCCTGCAGCGCAATTCTCCTCAGAACATAAAGGTCTACTTGTGCCTTTGCACTGTTCACTCATTTCCAAAGAGCTCTTACAACATCTAGCATTATCATACACCACCAAGTGGTGCAGAACCAGCCAGTCTATCTGCCTGCTCATTTCCTAACACACCAGCGAAACCTGGAGAAAATATCAAAATTACGCCAACTAACCAGGACCTTTGAAGCAATGCCTGCCACTCTACAAGGAGCATTTCTTTCTCCACCTTTCTCAACGTACTCTTTGAGCCAGTTACAGTTATGACGTGTGTGTACAGCTGATTCTCAGTCCAGCGGAACTCAGCAGTGACTGCCTTTACCTCCATTCTCAAACTAGATGTTGTGATATCATATTCCAGGCTTTGTTGCACTAAGTGACGTCCATTTGCTTTTGCTATGAATCCCCATGCACTTCGTCTACCTTTCAGCACAGAGTTATCTGTATAGATGATCTCATCACCTTGACGGGTATTGTCATGAATCATGACTAAAAGCATTTCACGTATCTTGGCAGTGTGGTGTCCCTACTGGGAGGGACAGAGGAAGAAATACAGTCACGTCTGAACAGAGCGAGAGCTGCTTTTGGAAGGATGAGGCAAATCTGGAAATCCAACAATTACTTCAGAGGAACGAAACTCCGACTCTACATTTTGCCAGTTCTTCTTTATGGAGCGGAATGCTGGAGAATGACCAAAAAGGATGCACACAAGCTGTCCACCTTCCACCACACATGTCTATGTAGAATTATCAAAATTTTCTGGCCAGATACAATCTCAAACACTAAACTACTTCAAGCCACAAACCAAGAAACTTTAAACAGTAAGATTACCAAGAGAAGATGGAAATGGCTTGGCCACAATATGAGAATGACTTCTGAAATACCTGCCTAAAACAGCTCTCACATGGACACCAGAGGGAAAGAGAAAACAGGGGCGCCCAAAAACAACATGGAGACGAACGATGAAAAGTGACATGAGTGCGGCATCTTTGACATGGAAAACTGCACTGAAAATTGCACAGGACAGGAAAGCATGGAAAGTCCTCTCTGAAGCCTCATGTGCCACTAGGCACAACGAGAACTGATGATGACTAAAAACAGTTAACCTTACTATCCTCCATAGTTAACGAAAGTCAAATATCTTTTGCTTAGTCTTTGTTTTAGTTGTAGTCGAGGTTTGAACTTCACTGCAGTCAGGTCAACCCCTACTTACTGTGTTCCTGTGAACAAACATTTAGTCCAGGCACAATCCAGATGTATGTGCACACAGTAAATGTAAATGGCAGTTGCTAGAGGTGCCAAAGCCAACAGTTGCCACCAAAAATCCAGTTTGTCGTTGATGGAAATAGTTGAACACGATAACTTGGCTATACGCACGTAAAATTATTACATAAGGTATTTCACCAGCCCACATGTAAACTGGTTACCGGCCTTATCGAATACCATCTCTCAGCCGCTGCACAAATGAAAGGCATTCCATATGAAAAAGACAACTGACAGTGCCACATTAAGCACTGAACATGTGAGCTCAGGCAGCAAAACCGAAGACTTCTGTCCTTATGTGGAAACTGCATTAGCAAAGCACTGTTGGAAGAAAAAATAAATTTGAAGCTAAATATTCTGCCATGCCTAGTCCTCCATATTGGACCGGAAGTCTGAATGTCTACAACACATGGACAAAAAATCCCACAGATTGACATGAACTATAATTTCTGCGATACTGGTTTAGCATCCTATCAGGTCCACCACACACTCTTCAGAAAGTAACTTTTTTGTATAATGTAATATAGTAGAAGTAAGTAAGTAAAGGACCCTTTTCCACGCCTTTTAGGCATATTGAGTATATAGGGCTAGACCTGTATTTGATAGACCAATCTTTACTTGGTGGCTGATGTGGTCAGCATCACCTTCAGTGGGTACCAGGTACAGTGCTGGGAAGTAAAGGTGGTCACCTTTACCTTCCAGGACAGTACCTGGTACCCACTCAAGGCTTGGTCGACCTGGGAGCCAAGGTCATTTTTGAAAAAATCCAACCCCATCAGGAGCCGAACATAATGTAATATAAAAACTGAAATTTTATGACAAAAGTTTTGGAAATAAAGGAAAGAGTAGAAAGTAAAAGAAAAAAAAACAGAGGAAAGCAGTGAGAGAAGACTCTTGGCAGCCTTTGTCATCACATTGAAGGATGTCAACACAGACAGTAATATATGCTGTTTGAAAATTGCAAGATACGGAAAAACCTGGTTGTGTTTGTCATTCCGCAAGGCTCTTGATAGTCATGAATATTTGTATGTCTCCCTTTATATTCAGGTTCAATGCTGGACATAATAAAAATGCGCCTGCGTTCGGGGTATGGTAAAAATGGAGTTTTGGATGAAGCTTGCATAGCAACAGTGCTGAAAGAGGTTTTGAAAGGACTGGAATACTTTCATGCGAATGGACAGATACACAGGTAAGCTGGTGCCCAGAATGTTGAGTTTGCTGAATTCACACATATATTCACAACTAAAACAAAAACAAAATGATTTTAGCATGCAAGCTTAAAATAAATATTTCTCTTTTCCCTCTGCCTTTGCTTGTTTTTTTTTTTCTCTTTCTCTGTCTCATGTATGTATGTATGTATGTGTGTGTGCGTACATACGTACTGGTATCCTCTGCTCATCTCCATGCTGTTCACCCCCTGCCCCTTTTTCCTGATTTCTTTAGTATACTCAGAGCAAATATGTAATAGCATACCATGTTGCTCGATACACACAGTGGAACAGAAAGAGTTAACAGTTAAAAAACATGTAAATGATTCATTGAATAACTCTTTACTGACCAAGAAACTCAATAAAGTTTATTTATTATTCAGTATATTTGAATAAAGAAAACAAACAGTAGATGGCACAACTATTGCCTGGCATTTCACAGTATTTTGTCAGGTACATATTACAGTAACATTTGAATGTTATGAAGCAAATAAGTCAGTCCTTTACAACTAAAACAACTAAAGTACAAATTCAGCTACTCTCAAAGCCACTGCCTGTTTTATCTGGGTAAGCGAAGGTGCACTACCATGTCTTTCTGACGCCTCTCCTCGTCGTTACTTTTGTGTAGTTCACTTCACATTTGACATAGGCTGCCAGCCGAAACTTTATCTGTGTTGTTTTGTGCACATTTTTCTGATTTCCTATTTGGTTAAGCTTTGTAGTCAAATTTCACTGAAATTCTTTGTATTAGCTTGACTGCAGTCACCCTATATTTTCACCATTTTTTGGACTTTCTGATGGTTAACATTGCAATGGGGAAACAATGCTTTGATAATATTTAAAATAATTTGTGATATTCTTTTATTGGATTCATTTGTCACTGTAATTTATTCCAACACAGTTGTTACCCTCACCCATTCTGTCACATATCTTGCTGTTTAAACATATTAACACTCGAAAGATTGCTAAATTTTTTTTTTTTTTTTAACAATGAAACTCAAAGGATTGCCTCCTCTAAAGTACACCATATTTAGAATAGAAAATGTTAATTTTCAACTGGGATACAGAGGTGCTGAACAACACATGGTGGTGCACCAGAACCGAGCATGATCTGGTCAAGACCTTTCTACTACACCTCTTATATAGGATCAACAATTCTTTTGCAGCCGGAATGTATCTGCCTTAGAGTCAGGGAACCAACAGTCTGCATACAAATAAGCTTGATCTGTTTAACAGATGTTAATGCAAATTTAACCAGGTGTACAACCAGTGAATGCCGAAATAAGAAGCAAACTCTTTGGGACGGAAAAAGCTAGCATATTCAGATTGTTTGCCTTTAAAGTTTTACAGTTATTTCAGATTTTTGGTTTGGTTTATCAGATGATTGAAGTTTGGTATGGTGACATGTTGAACGACAGTTGGTTTTTCTGGTTTCTTTCAGAGATATAAAGGCTGGCAACATACTTATTGGAGACGATGGCTCGGTTTTTGTTGCTGGTGCAGTATTTGCTTTTAGTATTTCATGTGCTAATATAATAGTAGCAGGCATCCCTTTAAGTTGCTTGTGTCCTTTGGATATGCAGGTATGTTAGGAAATAAACAGGCAGTCAGATTGGCTGGTTCTGCCCCACTAGGTGGTGAATTGGTGATAAGCTAGATGTTGTCAGGGCCCTTTGAGAGCAAGTGAACAGTGTGGAGGCATAAATAAATTATTATGGTCTGCAGATAATAGTGCAGCTAGGAGTGACCAGGGTATCAGTTCAAAACTCTACACTTAGAGGAAAGGCATATAATGAAACTGCTTCTGGCACCACTCGAATTGGAACTCTTTAGTTTCTGCTGAAGATGAGGAATAGAATACTTGTGGGAATTTCCTGAATACTGTTATGTCGAAGAGCGGCTGGGCGAGCGGTTACGTCAAGCTGTCATTCGGGAGACCCGGGTGATGGAATTTTTCTGTCAGCGGCAAAATTAAACGTCCCAGCCTGTACAGTCCATGTTGATGGCACTAGCCATTCAGCCCTAATTCCTCTGGCTCATGACCCCCTGTCTACACCACCCTAAAAAGTGGTGTACACAGACAGTAATGACCTTTTTTTTTCAACTTTTATGTCAGTATATACTCAGCATAACAAAACTCATGTGTATATTTTTTTTTTCACTTTTCCTTATGGAGGCCATGGTCATATAGTTGGTTGATTTCCTTATTTATCAATAGAGATTCCATGTGTTAAATCCAGACTTACCAGTTAGCCAGATGGCCATTCAAGGTAACATCATTGTGTCTGATGCAGTGTTTCCTAATTGGCTAAGACCTGCAGACCCTTTACAAAATCAGAGGCCTGCCATGGACCCCCATATCTAGTCTTTCTGAAAAACTGATTATTATTTATAAATACTGCAGTTGTAAAGGATCACATTCTAAAGTTGGTGGTTTTTATGTTTGAATGATGAGGATCTCTTAAATTTGTTCCAAGTTAGAGTTGATCAGATTGATTTCATTTGCACCAGGTTTTATCCAATATGGCTCAGTCTCCTCAAAACGGTTTGCCTCCTGCTAAGAGCATTATCCAGAACACAAACCCTTTAGCTCCAGTGATGATCCCCAGTTATCCCTGTAAATTCTGCACTTGGGAACTGAATGATACGTCTGTGAAATGAACCCCTGAATTTCAGAGCACAAAGCAAATGGTTTGACCACATCGTCACCGAGACCCGCAAATTTGTTCCACCCACCACCAAATGAGAAAGACTGGTCTAATGGATTGGCGTTAATTTTCTCGTTGACGCTGTCCAGACACACCCCAAATATATCTTAGCCACATAGAGATAGGCTTATTGGCTGACCCAATTGTTGTAGGTTCATTCAAATGTCCATCAAGGCAAATTTTTAAAATTGATCTGGGTGCATATCTTTATTCAGTATAAAAATAAGTTGTACTACCAGGAAATCTTATGGGAAGTAATAATTGTTAGCGTTATTTTGACCACATCACCCACTATTTGCTGATTGGTATATACAAATATGTGGCTTGTTTCAAATGCAGTTTGCATAGATGCATGACAATTTTACCTTAACTTTTCCTTTCCACGTAAATAGATAATTTTACATTTTACCTATATATTTTAAGGAGTATTTGTTCTTCTGAAATTTTTGGAATGAATAAATTTCATGATGTTATATTTTGTTATCACAATTGATGCCAGTGCACATTCAGCATTCCCGTGCAAGCTCAGTCCTTCTTCCAGTGTAGCATCCATTCCAAGATACCTTATACCAGTGATTCCTAAACTATGCTTCTCAACACCCCGAGGAGCCAAGACCTCTTCACAGGGGCGTCGAAAAATAATCGAAGATACACGAGTTTTATTTTTATTTATCTCTTAGATATGAATAGTCATCCTTTTACTTAGGTTAGGGTGCCGTGGAACATTTTTTATTAAAAAAAAGGCGCAGCGACTAAAAAAAGTTTAGGAAACACTGCCTTAGACTTTGCCTGTCAGATTAATGCTCGGACCATGTGGGTCACATTTTTGTTGTCATGAGGGCCAAACACAAACAACTAGCTGAAGTCATTTGATAAAAATTATGGCAGAATATTTTTATTGTGGGCCGCAGGTGTGCTTGCAGAGGGCCCGTGGGCGGCATGTTTGACAAGCCTGCCTGAGACTGTTTATGCTTGTTTTCTGTATTCACTGTAGTGGTTGTCTCTTGAGAATTATTTATCTGATTTTTTTAAATGTTCATACGTATAGAATATATGTTTGTTTTTGATGAACTCACTTATTTTAATTATGCTAAGAGCTGGCTCACTTACATTTTGTTTTCCCATAGATTTTGGAGTAAGTGCCTGGCTTGCCACTGGAAAAGACTTGACTCGAGACTCTGTAAGACATACGTTTGTAGGAACTCCTTGCTGGATGGCTCCAGAAGTTATGGAACAGGTGTGTTAGTTCTTTATATTGTTAGAGATCTGAGGAGGTCTTCTTCTTCTACCCTTTATCTTAACTTGTTATAGATCCTCAACAAACGTACTGCAGGCTCTCCCAACTGCTCGATCACTATCCGGAATGTGCTTCGTATATTATTGAACTCTATAATAGTTTTCTACATGTTTCAGATTTCCCTCTAATTATCTGCAGGTTCCAGAAAAGACTTTCTAGTTGTACTGTTAACAGATTTTCTCAGTGTGTGCCCTGATCAGTGCCAGCATCCTTTATCCACCTCTTGATAATCCACTAATCGCGGTGCCACCCTTGCGGCATATAGGTCACCCCGTAATAGCTCCATTCATGATGATGAGCCAGCAAAAACCACACAGAATGTCCACTGCTGTCCCTTGTAAAAGAAACTTAAACAGACTGCAGTCTTTGTATAGCAAATAGCATACACATGCATTAAATTCATAGGGCCGCCATCAAAAGTGAAACACAAACAGTCCATCACTAGAATTGCATATCAGTGTCAATGCAAGCAACAATTACAACATATCAGCACGTACGCACACAACTGATTAGAAACTTGATTGGCTGGAAGTTCTCCCATCTATTTATAAGCTTTTCATTAAGTTATCGTTTGGTTTTTTTTGAATTTTCATTATCTTTATAATTCCACTGCACATAAAAAAAAAAAATAATTGCTGTGACCTACCATAAGATGTATTTAATTAATCTTTCATTTGCTTTTACTTGGAGGACAAGAGGGAAGTCAAAGACATTCAGCAAACACACACAATTTTACATCTTCAACTCTTGTGTGATTCCACTGCTAACTTATTGATGTGAGTGTTGGAAAGCAGCGGTAGCTCTACATAAAAACAATTTGACAGTTTTGAGAACAAATGTCTTAGAAGAATAACTAATCTCCACTGGACAAATTTAAGATCCGGTATGCAAATAAGACCAGAGACCAGGCAAGAAAATGTATCCAGTTTTATAAGAAAGCTTCACTGGAACTGCATCGGCCATGCAACCAGAATGGATAAGACAAGACTCCCCCACCAAGCCCTCTTATGGACACCGGAAGGGAAAAGAAAATGGTGATGACCAAGAGAGAGTCTGTGTAGAACCTTCATCAGGGAAGGCTCAACCTCGAGCCTAATAAATATCCAAGCCTCTAACAGAAGTTGACAACGAACCGCCAGACATGGTGAGCTATGACCTCTGCCCTATGCTCTGCCCTGGGCTCAAGAAGAAATACTAACTAACCAACAAGAGGGCAGTGCTGTCCACAGTGATCATCAAGTTACTGTGTCAGAATCCACTCTTGACAGGTTTTTTGTGTTTTTTTCACTCGAGGATTGCAGTCTGTAACATTAACACAACAGGGATAAGAAATCAACCAAGTACAAACCTAGAAACTCCGTTCAGCCATTTAACACATAAATATCAGAGCACTTTGTGGTAACACAATAACCTGTACTACAAAGTTGGAGGGTTATATTGGCTGTCTATGTAATAGTATTACTTAGTCTCATTTCATGTGATATTGTTGTCACCATAACCCAGGTTATAGAGGAAAAAGAGGCATTCTTGTTACTCCTGTTCCAATTTCAGATGTGTTTTGTTTCTCATGATGAACATTTCATGACTTTAATTGTTGTCTCTATTAAGTCATATATTTTTCTGTGGGATCCAATAGTGCCTCAGATTCCAAAAAGAAACCCTGTCAAATTCTTTTCTTAGTCCACAAATCAGTATGAAAAAATGGTGGGTTTATTTCAGTGCTTGTACGAGGGGAAGTCAATAACTAAGTCACAGATGGTTATGGAATGGCAGGAAAATGTAGTTGGTGATTTCTAAAAATGTCATTAGGTGACAGCAACATCCAACTTTGTATTTTTTAGGTGTCACTAAGTGTTTCATGCGCATTCATATCACAGAAAAAATGGCGACTGTACTTATGGTGTGTAATCCCAAAGAACAACATGCTGTTGTGTGTTTTGTTGGGAGGAGAGAAGGGGAGGGGGAGGCAAAAGGGCTGCCTCCAAAGGATTAAGGAAAAGACATGCTGAACAGGATTTTTACTGGGGGACGAATCATGGGTGCATCACTACCAACCCGAATCAAAGCTTGCTTCAATACAATGGAAGCATCCCTCTTCACCTTGTGTTAAAGAATTTAAGGTTACACTATCAACAGGGAAGGTTATGCTGACTGTTTTCTGGGATTGTCGGGGAGTGCTTTTAACCAATTTAAAAAAAAAAAAAAAAGAAATTAAATGACAATGTGAATGAGGCAGAAGTTGAATGTGAATTGAAAGTTTGGTTTAGAAAACAGAGCACCCAGTTCTATGCAGCAGATTTGAGAGGATGTAAAATAATGCGACAAATGGTGCATCAATGTTGGTGCAAATTATGTTGAAAAATAAAGGGACAGTGTATGTGTAAAAATAAAGGGCTTTCAAGTTGTTATCATCTTTATTTTTATTTCTTAAAACAATCATTTGTGACTTACCTTTTGACGTTCCCTCATAGATAACAGGATGTGTATGAATCAAAGAGCACTCCGTATTATTTCTGAGTGGTAGGTGAACATACTGGAAGCAGCAGCTAATCTGTTCAGTTAACCTCCATAAACTGGATCTACACACTTGGGAATGCAGGAGTAAATGGTAATGAAAGTGCTGACCAGCTGGCAAGTAAACGGGAAGAAGCATGGACAGAGCTGATATCAGCAACACTGTACGGACTAGGTTGGGGAATAATGGCGAAACTCTGATGCTAACAGGATTGCGTGACTGAGGAGTTAAGCTTGGTTAAGCACATCTATGTCGTCTTCAAAGTAAAGTCAGAAGATACTACAACCAACTCCTCATAGGAACAATCAGTAGAGGTACCTTGGAGTAGCTGCTGCATTGGAGAACTGAGCACACATGGGGATGTACAACGTATAAAGACGTCAATTTTGTGATAACATAACGTAACATATTCAGACTAAGGTCAAGATGACACAGCCTTTCAAGACACAGTAAATGAAGAAATTTAATATAGAACAATAAGGTTAATTACTATTTTGTAACATTTCAGTCTTGATCAACCATAATGACAGACTGAACATGTTAAATGAAGAAATGATTTGTCTTTTCCAGGTTACTGGATATGATTTCAAGGCAGACATTTGGAGTTTTGGAATAACAGCCATTGAACTGGCTACAGGAACTGCTCCATATCATAAGTATCCACCAATGAAGGTGAAGCAAAGTGTTTCTGTGCACATATTTGTCTGTCTTTGTTTGATATAACTTTCTGATTGCTATGCTGTAGTTATGTTTACTTGCTTTGTTACTATTATTTAAAAAAAAAGTAAAGGACCCTTTTCCACGCCTTTAGACGTATAGGGCATATAGACCTATATTTTTTATAGACCAACTGGCACAAGATTGGTAGTGTGGTCAGCATCATGCCGGCCGCCTTTACTTCCCAGGACTGTACACGGTACCAACTCAAAGCCGCTCTGCTACGACCACTCCCTTATTACTGTATTTACCACTTAGTGGCGTAGGACATACTGATCGAGAACTTGAAGATTTAGTAGTTCATGGCTAGGGAAGTTGCCACAAACTGTGCAGGTTAGGATTTTTGTTGTTTTTGTCCCCAGCTGGAACAATCTCCATCCCTTACTAAGGATCATCCTCATGTGGATTCCGAGGTCCCATTTTGGAGAAAAAAGAATAGAGCTACTGCTCTCCTACAAGCCTGCTGCAAAGGGCAATTAGTTAGACATGTTTCTTTCAGTCGGAGTAAATCTTGCTGAGAGGCAAGGAACCAACAGTATGCACACAAAAAAGCCTCATCTGTAAAGTGGATATACGCTCAAAACCCAGTTGCTGGAACAAAGCTAAATATTTATGCCAGAGTTTGCAGCTCGTGAACGTAAACAACCAAACAACAAAACATTCCTTACTGAGGATCAAACTCATATCTTCTGAATGAGAGCTGAGTACTCTAATCGCTCTTCTAGCCACTCCTCTTGTAGTTGAGTAATCCTAGATTTTACAAGGGATCGTGTGCATGTTTTGTTTTGCATGAGACTTTACAAGTGCCTGCAGCCTGTTTCCACTGTCAGGAGCTCGTGTAGTGTCAGGATTAGTGTGTTAAACTCATTAAAAACCTATTACCGCCATCAGAAGTAGGCAGTCTACATTGTTTGATCATGTGATGAGAAAGAGAAAACTGGATGATGGGAAAGCTAGGGGAAAAAGGGGCAGAGGGAGAATGAGAGAGAAGATACTGGATAGTTTGACATATGTCATGGAAGATCTGGTTCAGAAATGACTGAAAGTAAATGAGACAGAAGGTTGTAGATAGATATGACTACCAGCGTCAATCAGCGTTGACTATAGGAAAAGGAAGTATGTTTGTTTTCTGCCATATCAATCCCTGTTAGTAGAGGATTTGATTCCCTAGACCTGTAAGTTTCTTGGTCTTATACTAACTTCTAAAATGGGTACTAGAGAATTTTTGAGACAATTCTCTTTTGAAAATTGTGTGGTCACCTAGTTATAAGCGGTTTACATTCTAAAAACAAATACAAACTAAACAAAAAGATCTTCAATTGATATATGAGACAACATATTATGTCTGTATATTTAAGTTGGGAGCCGCCCTGATGTAGCGGGTAGATGCTTGCCTCCAGATCGGAAGGTCGGGGTTCGAGTCCTAACGGAGCCAGGCTTTTTTCAGAAGTGACCTTGGCTCCCAGGTCGCACCCAGCCTTAAATGGATACCAGATACAGTCCTGGAAAGTAAAGGTGGCCGGCGTGATGTTGACCACATCACCCGCTAAGTGACAATTGGTGTGTAGAAATACAGGTCTAGCCCTGTTTGCCCAATACGCCTGAGGGCATGGAAAAGGGTCCTTTTCTTTTTTTTTACTTTTATTATTAAGTGATCTTGTAAACTAGAGGATGAAGAAAGTTGGATATATGTCTAATGTTAAATAATAGCAATAAGCAAGTGTCTTCTCCTGTGTGGGTTCCGGGACCCCATTTTTGGGGAGAGAAGAATAGACCCATTGCCCCCCTAACAAGCTACTAACAAGCATAAGAAACAATTGATTAGAGTTTGGCTGAAACCAGATGTGTTGGTCTGAAAAAGGGCAGGTATCACAGCCTAGCTGTAAACCACAACACAGCATGCCAGGGACAAATGCTGAACAAGAAGAAGAGATGGAATGAGCTTATGTTCTTATAAAACATACATGATTTTTTAATGTAGATAACAATTCTTTCAGGTTTTGATGTTGACTTTGCAAAATGACCCTCCTACACTGGACACAAATGCTGAGGAGAAAGATCAGTACAAAAGCTACAGCAAAATCTTCCGCAAGATGATCAGTGACTGCCTCAAGAAGGAACCAGAAAAGAGGTTCTGTCCATTTGAATTTGGGTTTTAACTCCTTCATAGTATCATTTGTTTTAGTGTCTGTTTTAGTGCTGAAGATCATCATCATGTAGCAGGTCCTTTGCAGAAAGTCGCTCTCATCACAGTCTGCCTGAAACAAACTCGGTCTCTGGCCAGTTCTCCCGCCTCATGTACTTTCATACTCAAGGAGTCACTTATATCCTGTGCCCTTCTTTGTGTCGGTCAGCCCCTGCCCCTCCTTTCCGGTACCATGCCCTCTGCTATAATTTTTTCTAATCCGTCGTGGCGCTTGATATGACCAAAATATTTCAGCTTCCGAGACAGGATGCTGTTTATTAGCCAATCTTCCTTGTCCAAGATATTCTGAGAATCTTTCTATAGCATTTAAGCTCAAAAGCCCCTATTTTCTTTCTTAAGGACTGAGAGAGTCTATGACTCACATCCATATGTAGCCACAGGAAAGATGCATACTCTCCTAATTCTAACTTTGAGTGCTGAAGAAAGGACAAGTATATCAAAAGACATGACTACAGAAACACAGGTTATCAAATATAATAATTTCAACACAGTATCATTGATTCAGTTTCTGGGTTGAAGATGAGGGAAGTATTTTGAAAAGCACATCTATAGAGGATTGAGCTGTCAGATGTTTAGTTTTTATTAGCGTTTACTAAGTTTCTTAATCTAGATTTCTAAAATGTGTTTTTGTACATAAATAATCAGGAAAGACAATATTAAGAAGCAAGCTGGAATTTAAAAAATACTAAACTACATCAAGTGACAAATCAGATCAGATGATTCAGACCTGTGAAGACTACTATCAGATTGTGCTCCGAATGTTGAATGCTGAATTAAGAATCAACATCACAGCACTCGGGACACTCCTATAAATGCTCCATCTCCATCTTCAGCAGCAGGCGAAGAGTCCTAATTCCGATGGTACCAGTAACTGTCTGCCTTTCCCTTGAATATTGAGCTACGGTCAGATCCCCTGGTAACTCCTCGCAACGCCATTATCCTCAGACCATAATGATCTATTTGTGCCTCTGCACTGTTCACTCTCTCCCTAAGGGCCCTCACAACAGTGCCCCACAGAGAGCCCTGCCACTTAGATACAATGGAAGCAGACTAGAGGTTACCACAAAAGCGACAGATAAATGTAATATTCGAGGCCATAAATTCCAGCATCTACGTAGCACATACCAAGGCTCACACCTGATGCCTCTTCAACACCTGACACTGAAAAACAGAACAGGGCTAGAGACGAAGAAAAAGAATCAGGGAAGAGACAAATTGTTTTCTTAGGATATCTCATTCCAGAGACTAATAAAACGCTTTAAAACAGTCTAATAACACACATTGCTAATTGTTTATTATAAGTTCAAATAATTACTATGAATGTGAAATAAACATTAACGGTGCATACACCTTGTTTCAGACCAACTGCCAAGCAGCTGTTAAAACATGAGTTCTTCAAGAAGGCAAAGGCAAGAGTATTTATTTTTTTAAAATCTGTAACCTTCTTACCTATGCAGTAAGTTCAAAAAACAAATGTAGATAGTGTTTTATATATTCAGTAAATTCAGTATTATAAAATGTCAGTTTTAAGATAATTCAGCATCTAATCAAGAGGTTAGAATATCTGGCACACATTTCTGGAGCATTTATTCTGAGTGATAAAGCACTGCAATGACATCCATTTTTTGATTTCTGCATTTAGTTTCCACTGTAGCCTCATTAAGATTGGGTGGACATTTTCGGCATACCAGCAGGAAATTTTCGCAGGCTGGGACTAATTTGCAGACCACAAGCTAATGAAGATGGCTTGAAAGTTATTGACTTCATTGCACCGGGTTTATCCCATGTGGCTCAGTCTCTCTCCATAGAACAGCTAGCCACCTGCTCCAATGGTGATCCCCTAGGGTCTGCATTTTGCTGCTAAGCAACCAGTTTGAAAGGATGTTTAAATGTAAGAGGATCAACTTTACGGTGTCAGGTTTTTTCACATACTCTGTCTTTTGCAAAAGTATTGCACAAAGCACATCTCTCTAGCTCCAGTAGTGAACCACAGGGATCTTTAAAAACACCTGCACTTATTAACTGAAGGGTGGAGTCCAAAATCAAACCCATAATACCTTAGTGCACAACACAAGACATACAGCATAACTGTGTCTCCACAGTGAACCCCTAAGCAAGCAATAAATAACAGGGTATTCCTGTACATCACAAGAAGACAGACACATCGTAATAGTTAATGTTTGAAGTCCTGCATATTAAGCGAAGTCTGTTAAATGTCACAAAGGGAACACAGTTGATTTGTCCATACCATTCTGTCTTGTGCAGGGAGCCGCCGCAGTGTAGCAGCTAGGCATTCGCCTGCAGGTTTGAAGGTCATGAGTTCAGATCCAGATGGTGCTGGACTTTTTTCAAAAATTACTTCGGCTTCCAGGTTGACCCAGCCTTAAATGGGTGCCAGGTAAAAGTCCTGGGAAGTAAAGGCGGCCATTGTGATGATGACCGCCACAAACACAGATTGCCGATTGGCCTATAAAATATAGGTCTAGCCCTATATACCCAGTGCCCCTGAAGGCATGAAAAGGAATCTTTTATTTTACTGTTCTTTCCTGTGCAGTTATTTTTATATTGTGTATTCCAATTGTGGGTTCCATGGCTCCATTATAGGGGAAACGAACAGACCCACTGTGTACCTAAAAGCAAATTGTAAGAGCCGACTAATTGGGAGCTTTCTTCAAATTCGGGATGCATCTGCCTGAGAGGCAAAGAACCAGCAGTCTGCATACAAATGAGTCAGATCTGTAAAATGGATGCGCATGCAACACCCAGGTTCTGGAACAGGACTGCAGTCTAGAAGTGGACAAAGAACCAGAATTTTCTGCAAGAGTTTACAGCTGGTGAACGCAAAGAAGAAGAAGATATTGTTATCTATCTCGGCACCATTGGCCTATCTCATCAACATTTGTCATAGGGTTTTTCTTTGACATCCTCGCAACATCAGTCTATCTGATACACAGTTCATTGCTTTGTTTTGTTATTTTTTTTATGCTTCATCTCAGAATGTGCCCAGTATATTTCCATCTACTTTCTCCTGTAACTGTTGATGGCAACAGTTGTCCAGAAATTACTCTGAAACTGCTATGCATACTCATAACACTGACATAAAATGACAAAGCAGTAGACATTAAACTGATTTTCTGTGAACGTTTTTTTTTTTAGTTAAATGTGTGATTTCTTTGTAAATAGACTTTTATCACACTGTTGGCACATCGGGCATTAGGTGCTACACTTGTAAATTATTACATGAGTTGATTTGTGATGTAGACAACATCATGCTGGCCACCTTTACTTTCCAGGACATTTCCTAGTACCAGTTTTCGATTAGGTTTTAAAAATCTGTGTGGGGGTTCCTGGGCCCCATTTTTGGGGGAGCAATTATAGACTTACTGCTCCCCCCATCTGCCTCAGTGGTAAGGAACCAACAGTCTGCACACAAATAAGCCAGATTTGTTTTTAAAAATAAATTTGCAGGCAAAGCTCAAACTCTGGAACAAGACCACAGAAGTGGATGAAAAACCAGAACTTTCTGCCAGAGTTTACAGCCAATTAACACTAAGAAGAAGAAGAAGTGGAATTTAATTTTTTTTTTTTGGCTGACAGGCGGGAGTCTAGCCACTGCATTACTGCAGATCCTTTTTTTGTGTGTGCTCAGTTAAATATATATTAACACATCTGTTTCAGGACAAAGCCTATCTGCAGAAAAATTTGCTGCCAGAAGGGCCAGTGGTCAAGGGTCAAAAGGTGAGGTGTTTTAACAGTATACATAAATATAGTGGAGGAAAAGTTTTCATATAGCAGATACCAGTAACAATACTTTATACCTGCACAGGACTGTAGGTTATACAATTTTGTGCTTTTATTATAACTTCTTTGGGGGTTGAATGGGGTATTCAGGACCTTACGCTGTTCACTTACATCCAGAATGAGATTTTTGTAATCCCAGGGTGGTCAGACCATCCAGAAGCATGCTGGAGGGGATAAAATGGAATGGAACAGAAGACACCAATGTTGGGGGGGGGGGGGGGGGGGTGTGTGAAATGTTAAGCCTTTGGATATTCTAGACAGTAAGATGGAAGGGTTAGTTGCCAGTTGTATTCCTTGTTGCCTTTCCATCTCAGAAACCTTGGAAAATTGTCTGGTAACCATTTTTATGAGGCTGGGTCAAACCCCAAAGCATATGGGTAAAAAAAAATTATTCTGGAAATGAACAAAGAATACACAAAAACAATGGAATGTAAAATTCTTACCTGGCATATTTCGCTGCATCTCGTCAGGTGCATACTACGGTTGATTAAAATGAAGCAGATTAACGAATTTGTCTGTCTAAAACACAAAATCGACTACATTCAAAAGTAACAGTCTTTTTCACCAGGGCAAATACAGGTTCATGATCATTTCAATTTTATCTTTCAGTTGAAAGGATTTTAATTATTTGTTTTTCATTTTAATCAGTGGTTACTGTAATGTGCACCTCCCCTGACGAGATACTGTGAATTATGCCAGGCAATAAATTGTGCAATCTATAGTTCGTAACACTTTCAGAAAGAATGATTGAAATGAACTGAGTTCTGTATTTGTGCTTTATTGATTAAATTAAAGCATTTGATAAAGTAAAACACGAATAAATTATTAGAATTTGGGAAACCTTAAACATTGATGGTATAGATCTAAGAATAATAAAAAAAAAAAAAAAACATACTGGCAGCCTTAAGGATTGACAACCAAGTTGGAACTTTTTAAAACATTAAACAACGCGTTTGACAGGGATGTGTACTATCACCTGATTTATTTAATTTGTACAGGGAAATAATAATTAGGTCCGTACATGGTATGTCAGGAGTATCGGTTGGTGGGTATATTGTTAACAACCTGTCATATGCTGACGACATAGTTTTGATCGCTGAAAATGAAACACAACTGCAAGAAAAGATAGATATAATTGTAACGGAAAGTGAAAACATGGGTCTTAGTTTGAACAGCAGAAAAACAGAAGCAATGGTAATTACAAAGGAAATGAACTCTCCAAAGTGCAGCATCAAAGTAAATGGGCGGAGCTGTGATTTTATAGACGAATGATGAGAATACCCTTGACAGGTAAAAAGATCAATGAAGATGTTATAAAAGAAACTGACTGAAGAAGAGAACTGATTGCCCACATCAGAAAGAGACAATCTATATTCTTTTGTTCTCTGATGTGAAGGAGAAAACTGGACTACATTGTGATAGGGGAGAAACTGAAGGGGAAGAGAGAGAGACCGAGAGAAAAGATGCTGGACAATCTGACACCATGACATGGAGGATCATCTGTATCAGAGTTGATTGAAAGCACACAAGACAGGATGGTCTGTCCTGGGAAAGTAAAGACAGCCGGCGTAATGCTGACCACATTACCCACAGAGTGCTGATGGTCTGTAAAAATATGGGACATTCTGCCCATATGCCCGATGCGCCGAAAGGCGTGAAAAGGGACCTTTACTTTACTTTACTTACACAAGACAGAAGGTTGTGGATGGTCATGACAACCAATGCCACACAGCATGGTCTTTAAGAAGAGGAATATTTTTTTAATGGTTACATCTTAATGCTTACATGTTTTAAAAACATAACTCTATTATTTGCACTGATTTTAGGTTAAACGTGTCCCTGGCTCAAGCGGACGCCTTCACAAAACTGAAGATGGGGGATGGGAATGGTCTGATGAGGAGATGGATGTCACATCTGAGGAAGGCAAGGCTGCCATGGCAGAAGGCAGGGTATGTTGCTGAAATGACTTCCACCCCACTGAAACATTGTTTGTTAATTTCTTTATACTGCTGTTGTTAAATTTATAGATTGTTGTTTTGTATGATGATCTCTTGTAGCAAAATTTATGAATAATAATTCATTATCATGTGAAATGGCGAAACATGATCATTATGATCACCAGTCTCAAATTAGGTCTGCAAAAAGTCAAAATTATTATGTGTAACTAAATTAGTTAGCCTCACCTGTGTGTTACTGGGGCCCACACAGAAAGGAAATAATAGTAACACTGCACCCTACCAGGTGTGTCATAAGAGGCAACTAAGAATAATAATAATACGTAAAAAAATAAGCATAATCAGTGAGCTACGGAAAACAGTTGACATCTACAGCTTAAGACATTTTCTGTGGGAGATGGTACATCCAGAGCATCTGAGGCAATGCCTGCTGGGCTGTGATTTTGATTTTAAAATCTATAATCAGTAAACTAATTAGTGCAGATCATTGGTGCTGTTTGGGGGGGGGGGGGGGGGGGGGGGAGAGAGATAGATCAGGCACTTCTTAACAGACATGTTGCAAAAAGTGACAAATTAAGGATTTGCTGAGATAGGATGTGTTGAGCTGAAAGGCACAGATATTGCAGCCTAGCTGTAAACCAAAACATTGCATGCCAACTTCCTTTTAAGGGTGAATGGAGAAGGAGAAGAAGAAGAAGAAAAGATGCTGATGATGTATTCTAGTAACTGATGAATCAACATTTTATATTGCACACTTATTGCAATTGCCACATTGTGTGAGTGATTCTTTTTATATGAAACATTACTTGTTACTTATGAATCTGCCGATATTTATAAGTCAATATATGCATTACTGAGTTAATTTATGTCAACAGTGAATCATATAGTCTTTGATCAGTGTGACATTTATTTATTTTTACAGTCTCCAAGAATCAGTCTGGCTCCAACTGATGTACGTATTTTTTGCTTTGGTGTTTTTGTTTGTTTGTTGTTGTTGTTATTTTAAATGTAAGGTCATACCAGATAAAACTGTAGGGGCAGATACTGTTGCAGTAATGCCTTGACATAAAACAGATCATGGACTGTTGAGACGCGATTGGCCAGTTTCCTTTCTGAGTACATTTCCTTTAAAGATACCGTATTTGAAGTGGGGGAAAAAATAAAACTTTGGCCTTGCTCAACCTGCCACTGGGGTTTGGCTATATTTGAGTCCATTGTTCTGTGGGTTTTTTTTTTTAAAGTCTTCTATTGCAGCGATCAATATTTCACATGAGTTTTCATTTCTGTAGATCAACATGCCGGCGTGGTCTGTCTTGGCTGGATTTAGGCTTTTCATCATGTTGGGTTCTGTGTTTCAGGAGTGGATTTAACAGTCTTGAAAAGGACTGTTAGAATTGCCGGGGATGGCCTGCATCGGGTGGGCCTTTAAAGATATTATTTTTCAGGTACCTTAACTGCAGCATACTTTCTCAATCACAGCGCCTTCTTTTTTTCCATAACTACCCCCAACCCGCTTACACACACATTTTCTCTTTATCTGACATTTTGAATTCTTCTCTTCTTAAAAAATTTTTCCTTAGCAGGGTAGTTGGCATTTTAGGTTGTGGTTTACAGTCAGGCTATGATAGCTGTAACTTTCGGCACACCACTTCCGATTTTAGCAAACTCATATTTATTTGTCTTTCACAACATGCTTGCTAAGGGGCAGTGGGTTTATGAATTTCTCAGTAGAAATTAGAATGAAGTTTATTTTAGCTGAGATTAAATGTGATGTAACATCAGCAAACAAGAACAAGTGACAATTCTAAGACTGTGCATCTTTCCTATAGCAACAAATGAATGAGTCATCAACTGTTTTACAGTCAGCAAAGAAAAAAGTCAGTGCATTTGAACATGAATGTTACAGGAATCGTTGACCCAGAAAAGGAAAAATACTGACATTGTTTACGATCTGAATATTGAGGTAAACTGATATACTCCGACCATATTAAATGCCCTAATTGTTAGGAGAAAACAGTAATAATAGACATGTAACAACAATGAACATATATAATCAGACCTACCCACTCTGGACTACGGGTTACTTTATAACTTATTTGGTGCCCTAATATAGCTAAAATATGGCATTATGGTTGAATGGGATTTCTGGGATTTGTACCTGTTTGATTCTCATTCATGAGATGGTAATCACACAGACTGCAGTCATGGAGGGGGGGGGGGGGGGTCTTAAAAAAATATTGGTTGGTATGGTTCCTGACAGAAGAGGCAGCTAATGACCAGCTTGATGGTGGATACAGGATATCAAGGACACCCTGGGCATGGAAGTTAACTAGATAGGAAAGTTGGCAGGGAGACTGAGTGACTGTCTACACTGTCATGATTAGAGCCACATTCTCCAAAGGACCTGCTACATAATGTTGAATTTCTTGCTTGTCTGAATAATATATTTTCAGTTTCAAATGCTTTTTTCCTGTGTCCCTGTCAGATTCCAGACCTACCACCTCCATCTGCCTCCCATGATGTTGGGAAGAAGGAAAATAAGCATGTTGAAAATGATGCATCAAAAAGTGCTGAATCATCACATAAAGCACCAGCCGAGACATCCGAGGATCATGCAGTTGAGCGCAGAGGCAGCATTGTTAATGAGAAGCCCAGAAATATGGTGCTGCGATTAAGGTAAAGATGTTCCTTGTGTGTTGATAATCTGAAAGATTAAACAATTTAGTATGGAAATATTCTGGCATTGGCTAAGACAGATACTGAGAAAACTTGATAATAGTTTAAGTAGAATCTTGCTCCAGAGCCTAAACCTACAGGGTCAGAGGAATAAAGGCAGACCAGCAACACATGGGAGATGGGAATTAGAGAGTGAAGAAAACTATGAGGAGGGGAAAGGATGAGCTCAAAGCAAAAGAGGATGGCTTGGCGTAAATTGATTGAGGGCCTTTGCTCCATCGAGGAACAAGGGACAAAAGAAGAAGAAGAAGATAATAATGAAAGTTTCTAATAAAAATCAACTTCACTGCACTAGGTTTTGTCTCATATGGCTCAGTCTTTCTCAGCAGTGCATCAGATCACCTGCTGAGAATGTTGCATAAAGCACAAACTCTGTAGCTCCAGCAGTGACACCAGTGATACCTGAAACCCCTGTGCCAGTAAAATGACCAACCTAGACGTGATGCCCAATGTACAGTGACGTCGATTGGGATAACGTAACATAACATAAGAACTGACCAACAGTCTCAAACCAAACCCACAACCTGCTATGAGGCAAATGGCTTACATTAGATTGTTATCTTTCTTCTGGGGATAGAGGGTAGTTTCCGGAAGGCAGAGGCAGACCTGTGTGAACGTGGATATAAGATTCAACCTTAGTCTTAAGTCTTTTTCTCAATATTTTCTAGTTTATTACTCTTTTACTGGTACCAAAAATTACAACCAACAATGACAAAATTGAAACTATCATAAATTTTGCCAGACTCCATAACTGACATCAGTCAGGATTGTTGAAAAGAAGTTAGAAAAAGGCTGGCTTTAGAGGTATAGATGTAAAAACAATATTAATTTCCTTAAGAAAAAAAAAATGGAACAAAGAAGAAACAACACACCCATTCCTTGTGATTATCAGAAATCATAACATGTATCAAGGAAAAATACAAGAAATTGTGGAGTGAACAAACCAACAGTAAACATCCACATGACTCCATAAACAGACTCAACAGAAAGGAAAATACAAAAATTTTCAAAGACCTGACACTGCAGGCTCAACTACCGCTTGCATAAAATAAATACTATACAGTCCCCACAGTGCGCATGTCAGAAAGGACCACAAACACCTGAGCACATTCTCCAGACCTGCCCACTGTACCTACAACTACAAAAGGAAACCTCCCCTCAAGAGCAAAATGTGCAGAGAAACCTGTGGATAACCATAAAGGACCTGCTTCTGATATGCAAGTTCATAGAGGCAACCCACTTGATGGTCTTACCTTAGCATATGAAACCGAACGCAAAGAAGAAGAAGAAGAAATTCCTGTGGCAAAACAGTAGCAAATAAAGTTATAATTTGTAGAATGTGCATCTTTACTGAAGCATTATATAGTTTTATCATCCCTTTTGAACTTACCTTCCCTGTGGGTTCCAGGGCCCCATTTGGAGGAAAAAGGGGGGGGGGGGGGTAAGCTGACTGTCCCTTTTAATAGGCATGTTGTAAAAGGTGACTGATTAAATATTTTGCTGAAACTGGATGTGTTGAGCAAAAAGGTGCAGATATTGCAGCATAACTCTGCACCAGAAGAAGATCTTTAACTGTTACATAATTTTTTTTAAAGAAATCTGTCGATCCAGAAGAAAGATTAATAAAAAGGCTGACTTTCTACAAGATCTGAAAATAAAGCAAATCAGCCTTTTTCAGAATAGAACAGTCAACTCAAAGCCATACTCTACTGTTACCTCTTATGACAGGCTTGGTATTGATCAGTATCACTTATCTTTGTTTTCCTTAGTCCTTTCAGTCTCATAAGGTCCTCCTAGCTAATATCTGAGGTGGTTAAGAATGGCGATGCCCGGCTCTCTAGCGTAGTTGGCTAAACCGGATTACGCGGAGACCGGGTGACGAACTCCTTGTGGTCCGGGTTCAGTCCCGGGGGTAGGCAGGAAAGCCACATTTTCTCCCAGATTTACGGTATTTACAATGGAATTAAGGCCAAAAGGTTGCGATATCCATAATACCGAGCCTAAGGGTTAACAACTCATGGCTTCTGGATACTCAAACAAACAACAAACAAGAATGGCGATAATAAACTCATGGGTATACTACTTCCAAAGGGGCCAAATATACAACCCTTGTCCTCCACTAAACGTAAGATATAAAAACATACATAATAGATTGACTTGTACACATTAAATTTTTTTTTTTTTAAAGTATCCAGAAACCATAAGTTGTAACCCTTTGGCTCGGTACGGTGGATATTGCACCTCTTCGTCCTTGATCCCATGATAGATACCATACATCTTGAAGAAATGTGGCTTTTCTGCCTACCCCTGAGTGTGAACCCGGACCAAAAGGAGTTTGTCACCCAGTCGCCGCTCAGAGGGTTTTAACCAACTGTGCTAGCGAGCCGGCGTACACATGAATATACCCAGTCACATGAAGTGCGTTATTTGGGACAGAAAAAGTTGAGTAACACACAGATTTGGTGGTTTATAGTGTGTTTAACATTTGCTCTTGTTTCTTTGCAGAAATGAGAAAAGAGAGCTGAATGATATCAGATTTGATTTCAAAATTGGGCAAGGTAAGATTTGTGATGAAAATAAATTACTACATGCAGCTTTTGAAATTGTGTGTTATTATTTAAAAAAAAACATGTAATGTCAAATGCCTGGAACAGAGAATCAGATAGATTTAATTTTACAGTGTGGGTAAGCTAGATCTTTCTGTTACAAATAGAGTACTTACCGGAGATGAACATACATTTAACTTTATTGGGATCCTCTATGTCGAAGTGGTCAAGCTATCCCCCACCCCTCTCTTTAAAGGTCCTGGATTTATTTCATGGACATGGTCAGTTCAAAATGCAAATGTAGGAAGATCCCTGAGAATTGTTGCTGCAGCTACAGAGTTTGTGCTTTTTGCGGTGCTTTCTGCAGGCGTATGTCTTCCTGCAGATAGAATGTTGAATGCTGAGTTAAGAATCAACATCACAGCATTTAGGACACCCCCATAAGCGCTCCGTCCCCATCTTTAGCAGCAAGCAAAGAGTTTAAATTCCAGTGGTACCAGTAACTGTCTGATTGTATATCCGACTCGCCTTTTCCCTTAGTGTCGAGCGTCGGCCAGATCCCCTTGTAACTCCTCGCAGTGTCATTCTCCTCAGAAAGTAATGATCTATCTGTTCCTCTGCACTGTCACTTGCTCCCAAAGGGCCCTCACAACATCCAGCTTGTCACACATCAGTTCACCACCAAGTGGTGCAGAACCAGCCTGTCTATCTGCCTGCTCATTTCCCATCACACCGGCATAACCTGCAGAAAATATCCAAAGGATGCTAACTACCCGCGACCTCTGAAGTGATGCTTGCCATTCTGCACGGATCATGCCTGTCTCCTTTCTCAGCATGCTCTGTGATTCAGTTACAATTACAACATGTGTGTACAGCTGATTCTCAAGCCAGTAAAAGGCAGCAGTGACTGCCTCCACCTCCTGCAGACAGAGACCAAGCCATATGGAATGATTCCTGGTACACCATCTTGACTTTAACTTAATAGAAACATCATTGATCACAGAGAGGACCTTGATCTTGAAGAGATTGCATACATCTATTTGTTAAAAGCTGGAAACCCTGAAATATACAGAACCTCTTTCTCTCAATTGGGCCAGATGAGGCTGTGAGATGTATGCCCAGTGGCAGGGAGCACTTTGAGCATATTGTGGCTCCTGCTGCTGCGCACACAAAAACATACACATCAGAACAAATCAAATCAGAACAAAACAAACAAAGTTGATCTAATTATTTCTCTTACCATGTTCACTTGCACTGGAAGGGCTTTGAACGCAACTAGCTAGTCATGCAACAATTCACCACCAAATGGGGCACAACCATGTAAAAGTTGGATTATATCATATGGTATGAAGATAATTGTACAGCAGGAAGCGACCATGGGATCTGGCCGATACTCAGAGGAAAGAGACTCACATATAATCAAACTACTGGTACCATTGGACCTTGAAATCTGCGCTGGCTGCTGAAGATGGGCACTTAGTGCTTATGGGAATGTCCCGAGTGCTGTGATGTGATTGTTAACCCAACTCATTTCTATTGCAGACACAGCAGACAGTGTTTCCAGGGAACTAGTAGAGGCAGGTTTGGTTGATGGCAGGGATATGGTAGTTGGTAAGTTATTACCTTCTTCTCTTCTTCTTCTTCTTCTTCGTCTTCTTCTTCTTCTCCTCCTCCTCCACTGCTGCTGCCCTTTTTCTTCTTCTACTGCTGCTGCTTCTTCTGCTTCCCTTCTGCTTCCACCCTTAAAGGGTGGTAGGCATGTTATGTTGTGTTACAGTCGGGCAGTGATATCTGTACCTGTCGGCCCAACACAGTGTCAGCAAATCTTTAGTCACCTTTTATGACATTTGTAGAGGGCAAGTAGGCCTATGATAGACCTACTGCCCCCCTCCCCCTTTTCCCCTCAACAATCAAATTGTAAAAGGCGTCTAATTAAGGGTTTTTCCTTTGAAGTCGGAGCGCATCTGCCCAAGAGGCAAGGAGCCAACTGTCTGCATATAAATAAGCCAGATTTATATAGAAATTTGCCAGATACGTAAAATAGGTATGCATTCAAAACTCAAGTTCTGAAACAAGACTAAAGTCTAGAAGTGAATTAACAATCTGAATTTTATGCCTTAGCCAGTGAATGCTAAGAAGACGAAGAACAAGGAGAATGGTGTTGAAAATAGTATTTGAAAATATGAGGATTAATTCATTGTTTTGATTCTGTGTGGCTCTGTTTTGACTTGTGTCATATTCCAAACAACATTTTTGTGGGAGGCATTATTGTAAGTATTTATAATTTAGTTAGTTTTGTTTCATTTCTGTTTTAGCGACATTCCCAAAAAAATTGTATTTATTACATGTTTCAGTTGCTGCAAATTTACAGAAGATGGTAGATAGAAGTGATTTGACAAACATTACATTTGCTTTGGTAAGTGATGTGTTTTTTTTTTTTTTTTAAAGAAAATAATTGGAATGTAACTGAAATTTGTGTGTGTCAGTCTCATGCCATTGTGTCATCATCATACTACATTTTTTTTTTGGGTGTAAAAAGATAATATTTTTCAGCACTATCCACATGTTTTTCAGTATTATCTAGAATGTTTTTCAGCACTGTCCAAAGGTTTTTCAGCATTATCCAGAATGTTTTTCAGGATTATCCAGAATGTTTTTTCGGCATTATCCAGAATGTTTCTCTCTCTCTCTCTCTCTCTCTCTCTCTCTCTCTCTCTCTCTCTCTCTCTCTCTCTCTCTCTCTCTCTCTCTCTCTCTCTCTCTCTCTCTCTCCCTCCCTCCCTCCCTCCCTCCCTCCCTCCCTCCCTCCCTCTCCCTCTCCTGCCATGTAAGGGGTCTAGTCTAAGACAAGGATACACAGAGGTATTGAAGTATTTGAGTTTTAAAATAACAAACAAATTGTTCTTAACCAGAGTAGTAACCATATGCTTCTAAAATTTTTTTAAAGGATAAAAAAAACATTTTGCATTGTATTATTTTTGGAACTTAAAGATTACATTTCTTAATCTATTTCAGAATTCCGGTTGTGGCCCTTATGAATCTCCTGATGACAAAGCATTGATTGGGTTTGCTCATCTCAGCATCAGTGACTCATAGTCCTTGTTGCTGTATTACCTCACTGGATGTGTTCCTGGAAGCATTGCCAAGCTTGATTGTACCACATTGTTTCCTGCCCAGAGCTGTGTGCAGTGCAGCATTTACCTGTGATGTGTCTGCACCTCTATCAGCTGGGTCTATTCATTCCTTGAGCTGTTAAGATTTTGTTGAGCAATTTTTCCCTGTTTACTGATGATCCCCAGTGTTTGATGAGGAAGAGATTTTGTAATATTTCCTAGTGATCCCTAGTGATTGAAGAATAAAAGCTGTTGCAAAGTAATTGTTTATTGATCCCTTGTGGCTGAAGCAGAATAGATGTTAAACCAGTAAATGAAAGCCACTGTTTAGTAATCATTAGTGGTTCAGGAGTAACAGCTATTGTAATAGTGAAGGACAGTAATTGTTTACTGATCCCTAGTGGCTGAAGAGCAGTAGATACGTTAAATATATTTAAAAAAAAAGTGTTTACTAATAACTAGTGATTTAAGCATAATAATTATTGTAATAGTAAAGGATGTAACTGTTTACTCATTACTAGTGGTTGATGAGTAATAGCTGTTGTAATTTAATTGTAAACGAAAGTAACTGTTTACTGATCACTAGTGTTCAGGAGGAATAGATATTGTAATAGTAAAGGAAAGTCACTGTTTACTGATCACTTGTGGTTCAAAAAATTATTTGGAAGCTGTGGAGATGTGGTTTTGTAGATGAATGATGAGAATACCCTGGACAGATAAAAAGAGTAATGAAGACATTTTGAAAGAAACTGACTCACGAAGAGAACTGATTGCCCACATCAGAAAGAGACAATCTACATTCTTTGGTCAGGTGATGAGAAGGCGAAAACTGGAGTACATAGTGACGGTGGGAGAGTTGGAGGAAGCAGAGGCAGAGGGAGACCGAGAGAACAGATGCTGGACAGTTTGACATCATGGCATGGAAGATCATCTGTGTCAGAGTTGATTGAAAGTACATGAGACAGAAACTTTTGGATAGACATGACTACCAACGCCACATGGCATGGACTCTGACAAGAAGAAGTGGTTCAGGGGTAACTGATATTCTAATAGTAAAGGAAAATTACTGTATTCTAATCACCAGTATTCAGGGGTAATAGATATTGTAATAGTAAAGGAAAATGACTTTATTCTAGTCACCAGTATTCAGGGGTAACAGATATTGTAATAGTAAAGGAAAATGACTGTATTCTAATCACCAGTATTCAGGAGTAATAGATATTGCAATAGTAAAGGAAAATGACTATTCTAATCACCAGTATTTAGGGTTAATAGATATTGTAATAGTAAAGGAAAATGACTTTATTCTAATCACCAGTATTCAGTGGTAATAGATATTGTAATAGTAAAGGAAAATGACTTTATTCTAATCACCAGTATTCAGGGGTAATAGATATTGTGAAAGTACAAGAAAAGGACTGTATTCTAATCACCAGTATTCAGGAGTAATAGATATTGTAATAGTAAACAAAAGTAGTTGTTTATTGATTACTTGCGGTTTAGAGTAATAGGTATTGTAATAGAAAAGACAAGTAAAGGATCTTTTTTACAACATTAACACAGACATTTACAGACCACACCAGTAATAGAGAAACAGATGTTGTTAAGTACAGGAAGTTAACTGTTTAGTTACTAACTAGTGCACCCAAATGTTGGATGCAATTTTTTGATGTTTTAAAGCCCCCACCCTGGCTGTTGTCGGAGACCCTAATATAACTCAACCTGTGAGATGAACGGGGTTTCTGGGACCTGTCCCTGGGTGATCCTCATCCGAATGGTGGCACTTTGTGTCACCGGGTGTATATCGCTCTGTGTGATGTCCTGATGAACTGCAGTCCTGCTCCAGAACCTGAGTGTTGCGTGTGCATCAGTTTTACAGATCTCATTCTCTTGAATAGAGACTGTTGGTTCCTTGCCTCTCCGGCAGATGCACTCCGACTTCAAAGGAAGCTCCCCAATTAGTCGACTCTTACAACATGCTTTTGGGGAGGCAGTGGGTCTATTCTTGTTTTCCCCACAATGGGTCCCCGGAACCCACACGGGGGACAGATATTGTAATAGTAAAGAAAAACTAAAGAACCCTATTTATGCCCTGAGTACATCGGACATATGCTGCCAGGTGCACATTTTTAATAGACCACACCTGTAACAGCCAAGTCTGTCATTCCTTTAGCTGTTAGATTTTGTTGAATAAGTTGTCCCCATCCTGTTGACTAATCCATAGTGAAGGGCTATTTAGCTAAGCTTACCCAGGGGCCACAATTGTGAAAATGGGGATCATCCCGGGTCAATGACCCCAGCCCCAACCCACTATAGAATGGTCATTAATACAATACAAGTGGCAGTGATCCACGGACCCCATCCTAAGCCTTTGTGCACCAGATTTGGCCCATCGGTCACTAGTTGAATTGCCTGGCCCTAGTGGTTCAAGAGGAATAGACATTGTAATGTTAAAAAAACCTTCTTGCATCGTCTGGCTTAAGCATTGCGAGTCCGACTATCAACTCCAACGTACCTCGATCGAAACCCACTGCTGGCTGTGTGGATTTTTATCATGGTATGGGGCGTCACAGATTGACTAAGCCTTAAATGGGTACCAGGATGTATGTCCTGGGGAAGTAAAGATGGCTGGCGTAATGCTGATCAAATTACCTACCTAGTGCCTATTGGTTTGTAAAAATATTGGTGCTCTTCCGATTTGCCCGATGTGCCTAAAGGCGTGAAAAGGAATCTTTACTTTAAAAAAAATAAAAAGTCCCTTCTCACATTCTTGCTGCAGTTGACAAATATTGCGGGACCTATATTTTTGAAGCAACATTTGTCTGATGCAACCACACCCATTTTTGTGTGTGTACAAAATACCATGGCAACCACGGGTAACAATAGTTATAACCCAGAAAATGGCACAATACTGGACAATAAATGAGCAAATAATCACAAGACAGGCACTAAAATGGGAAATAAAGGGATTGAGGAAGCGAGGACATCCAAAAGAAACCCTCAATCAACATGGATAAGATAAACTAAAGGCGCTGGACTGGATTCCATCCATGATATCCAAGAGATTGCACAGGATAGAGTAGAATGGAGGAACGGATAGAGCTTTTTCTGAGATATAATGACACAACAGGACAATGATGATATTTTTCAAGAGGAATTGATGTTGAAATATTAGCATACCCTACTGATGTTATTGCTGCCTCGGAAACATTTAGCTAGATGCATATTTTTATGGATCAGTTAGTGATGGGGTCAGCGTCTTGCCAGCTACTTTTACTTTCCAGAATGTTTTTATTTTTATTTTTATTAAAAAAATTTTTTTTTTTAATTCTATAATTTCTCCTCCTCCATCCCTTTACCATATTGTGGATTTGATATGGTAATAGATGAAACAGTTAAGATTCAGTTAATGGAAGAAACATTATCTCTACTCACAGTTCTGGCGCCACCTTCCTCTATGTATTACTTGAATGTTCAAGCTGTGATACGAGCCAATATCATTGCTGGAATAAAGAAACATAATAATCCGGAAGTTCTGTTATGTATATCAGTTGCTTTGGCTTGATTTGCATATGCATTCAATTGTAACAGTACTCTTCATGCCTTGTACTTTTTTTTGTTATTAGTTTTTTTTTAGTTTTTTTGTTGCCACATGCTGGTGGCAGAATTTTAACCTAATACACAAGCATAAAGTATTATTTTTGTTGTTACATTTTGGAATGTTATATACAGCTTTGTTGATATATTGTTATTATAGTGATTTTAAGATAACATTGAGAAAAATCAAGTATAATAGTCATGTCTGGGAAAGGTAATATTGGAGAGAAGTATTCTGGGAAAGTGGAGGAAGATTTAAAAAAAAAAAATTTGTCATTACTGGAGTCGCAGTGGTGTTGGCGGCTAGATGCCCGCCTGCTGATCGGAAAGTCGTAAATTCACGTTCTGATATTCAACAATGACCTTGACTCCCAGTTCGACCCAGCCTTGAGTGGGTACCAGGTGCAGTCCTGGAAAGTAAAGGCAGCCGGCGTGATGCTGATTACATCACTTACCAAGTGCGGATTGGTCTTTAAAATACGGGTCTAGCCCTATATTCCCAAAATGCCTGAAGGCGGGGAAAAGGGACCTGTCATTACTGTCCTTATATACAGGCATACATCCTTTTAGGGCATGGTGGGGGAGAGGGGAGTGGGCTAAGCCTGAGGATTATTGGCTGCTCATGCAGGTGCCTGAAGACCTGAAAGGATTAGGACAGAAAAAAATCCATCATCTTACAGAGGATTCGAAGCTGTCCCCCCTGAATATTAGCCAAGTGATCTTAACTGTTTGGTCATCTGCTCGTTGTGGGAGGAAGATGAAGACAGCAATGTGTGTTTATCAAAGATATGATAGAGGACTTGATTACACATAACAGCATCAGAGATAAAACATTTGATAAAAACTTTGAAAAACTGTTAAAGAACTTTGTCCCTATATATATATATATATATATATATATATATATCTTTCAAAATTTTGTAAGGATAAGCTGCCAGAGTGTAAATGATTTTAATTATCTTTGACTTGATGTTCTAATTAGAAAATTATGACCTGAAATGCATAATTATTGATTTGGAGATAGTAGCAGACTTGTTTTTGTTTTGTTTAGCACCATTTTAATCAAAGATTGCAGTCAAAAGACAGTATCAAAGCAACATTTGATTAAATACATGTTATTCTTTTTCTTTTAGATGAATGTTAACTTTTATCATGCTCTACCAATTTTATGATTTTGTTCTTTTATTTTATGCATGCTTTCCAGTCTTCACGGTATTGTGTTTAAGCTATTTGTGATTTAATTTGAAGAGTTGCTAAATGTGCTGATGTAAAGTTACAGTTAAAATGTCTAAACAAGAATCAATCTGTGTGTAGTCAATATGGAACCAACTTTAATCTCTTCAGTTAGCAAACATTACAGATATGTTTATTTCTTTTATTTTTTTT